TAGACGATCGTCTAAACAGATAACGTCACCAGGAACTCGGGAGCAGCTATGTTAAGCTGCTTCCATCAGTAAGCCTCGCCCAGGAAGCCCCCATCACTGGAGGTTTTTAAGAACAGATTGGACAATCATTTGTCTGAAATGGTATAAGGTTTCTTGATGAGCAGGGAATTGAACTAGAATACATCCAGGGTCTATTCTATTCAGTAAGCAATGGATATTTTGGCTCTGGCCATTTCCACAATGGCAGCTATTTTGAGTAACGGCAAGGCCATTCCATGGCAGCCATTTTGTAAAAACAGTCATAATCAATTCTCAGAGCTCCAAATTTCTTCCATGAGCCATCTGGAGAGGATCAAGTCCATAAATCCAGCCCCTGTTCCTCAAGGAAGGCCACAAGCAGGGCCCTTTCTTTAGCCAGATTTAACGCCCTTCCAACACTGTTACTATGAAGGAGGATTTTTAAAAAATCCCCTTTGAACAAAGACTGTGTCCATGTGATGGTGGAATAATTGAATCACTGGAACATGTTATGATGTATTGTCCCATCTATGCAGCAGCATGCCAGGAGTTATTATTTCCCCTTTTTATTAAATACCTGCTCATTCTGATTTGTACTATCTTAACATGATTTTAGCAGCACAATCTGATTCCAGCCATATACCGCTCAGTAATCTGCACTATGCCATAGGATTGACTTTAGTATATTTATGCATAATTTAGCATTTATATATACAAATATATACATTTCTTTTCTCTTGTATTTTATTTTAATTAACTGCATTTTCTGTATCTGCACACTGGTCTATGACTGAATAAAGATTGGATAATGGAGCAGCAATTCAAGGCAGTAGTTCTGCCAATAGTGCCTCACAGCTGGTCTTTAGGGATTAACAGAATAACAGACTTGGAATGGATCTTCTAGTCCATTGTTCAGGCGGAATACCCTAGACCATTTGAGATAAATGGCTGTCCAGTCTCTTCTTAAAAACCTCCAGTGTTGGAGCACCCACAACTTCTGGAGGCAACTCGTCCTGCTGGTTAATTGTTCTGTCAGGAAATTTCTCTTTAGTTCTAGGTTACTTCTCTCCTTGCTTAGTTTCAATTTTGTCCTGCCTTCTGGTGTTTTGGAAAATAGGTTGACTCTTTCTTCTTTATGGCAGCCCCTCAAATATTGGAATAGTGTTGTCACTACTAGTCCTTCTTTTCATTAAAGTAGACATACCCAATTCTTTGTTTGTTTTACCCTCTAGTCCCTTAAACACAGGTGGGTTGCTGCTAGTTTGGCCCGGTTCAGCATGGCATGGCTTGGTGGGCGTGGCATGGGAAGGTTACTGTAAAATCCCTATTTCCTCCCTATCAACTGGGACTAGGGAAGCAGAGAATAGATGG